CTTATTACATCTCTTTATTAACATCTCAATACCTTTAAAAAAATATTCTTTTGGTTTGTCTGCAGTCGACGTCAGTCCTTTTTCAAATATCCAAACAAATAATAGTCGCTGGGGGCCATATCTGGACTATAGGTAGGATGATCTATCTTTTGGAACCCACACTTTAAAATAGCAGCTTGTGCAACACCAGCAGTATCGACAGGTGCATTATCGTGCAAAAGACGCATGCCTCTGGTCAGTTTTTCCTCGACGTTTTACACATATGCGGTCTCGCAATTTATGTAATAATGTTGCGTAATATTTACCATTAACAGTGGTATTAGTTTTTTTAAAATCTATTGTTGACTGGCAGACACTGAATTTCCTTGGAGGTGCTTCACCCTTACGACGCTACTCCATTGATTCTTTTTTCGATAGAGAGGCATAATAGAGAACCATCTCCAGTCACAACAGTTTCTATCACAGGCTTCGGTTCCGACCCACAGAGTTCCAAAAAAGACCGCGCACACTCGACAATAGTCGAAAGGTTTTTAGGAACCCGTCTGGGGAATGTGAGTAAATCATGATTGCACTAAATTTATTTTAATTTAAGTATTTTTTTTTATCATACTTCATACTTCCTCTAAGAAATCGTTTTCCACAACCTTTTAAAAATTCATGAATTAATTTTGCTTATTGCGACTTCTATATCACAAAACCTGGTCAATATAATTGCGTAGACTTGTGAGATTTTTCTGACTGTTGATCGTAGTCGATTGGTTTTAATACTAAAGCTCTCGACTGCTTCGTCAGCCCTGAAAATCTTCCTGGTTATCTGGACACGTCGAATTAAGATATAATATGATAGATAGTTACGATTTGTAGGTATATACATTATTTAATATGTTTATATATGTTTAATATGCACTATATTTGTATCGTATTAAAAACTGTATTATATTTTTATATAATTCTAACAAATTTCAAGCGCTTCACCTGTAGCTTCTAACTGATGATTTTTTTTTATTTCGTTGTTTCGTTTGTTTCATATTTTACCAATATAAAATGCGTTTTTCCTTTATTGAGGTTTAGAATCCTGCACCAAATCTGAAAGTTTAGGATTTAGAAAAAGTTTTGGATTCCTTCCGATAATAAGATCATTAATGGAAATGTCAACAGAAATTATTATCCGAGTTGATAAATTTTGAAGGGAATAAGTGACATCCAGTATATTAGAAATAAACTATTCACCCAATGTTGCACCACAACCCATATCTATTTATTTCAAAAAAATGTGACATATCCATTGCTGTTCGCAGTGACGATGATTGGGCTTTGGCGGTCTCAAGGTGCTGGGAAATATATTTTCACGGCATCCTCACTATTAATCTTGTGTTTGGTCCATATACATATGATAGACAAGTTGCCTGCTAAATGATATAACTATATTAATAATATATTAATTAAGTCTGAATAAGTCCATAAATGTATCAAAACCACCATCATCCAGACGAATGGCGTAGGCGAGCTAAACGTTTAACTTTATTACAGTTACAAAGAGCACCAGTTCTGAAAGATTACCCGGCGACTAATTCATTTTAATGTCGATAGAGTGTCGGGACGGCAAACAGCAAATTGGGCGCAAATCGGAATTTAATTTTGGACGCCTACATTGATAAAAATGTTCAATCCGCGTTTTCAGGACAAGTGTTTTTAGTCGTATAGTCTCTTATCCTTCATGTCGTTAAGAGTATCTTAATATGAGGTAGAAATATTTAATACACAACTAATTAAGTTATGCCATTGGAAGATTGGAAGAGTATCTAAAGCCAAATATATATATATATATATATATATATATATATATATATATATATATATATATATATATATATATATATATATATATATATATATATATATATATATATATATATATATATATATATATATATATATATATATATATTCTCATGTATTGATTCACGGATGGAAAAATGTGATGACACTATATTCCGGGATATCATCCGTTCGCTCGTTGAACTCCGACTGGAATCCTGCAAATCCTGCATCCAACTGGAATTTGCAGACGTTTCGCCAAAATCTCACTTGGCATCTTCAATGCTAGCGCTCCGAAAACACTTCGAACACTGGGAGGTTATCGGCGGTGCGTGCGGTATTTATACTCTGCGCCGGAGATGGTAACGGTGCTGCTTGTGCGTGGGGGGAGGTGGCTCCGCCCCCTGAATGGTCGCGTTGTTAATTTCGCCCCATCGTAGTTGCGATGTCCCCGTTGGCTGCTGCGCATCGCTCTGCTGTTTGATTATCGTTCTCCACGTGTTGGATAAATGCAGAGCGTCGTCTCTCGTATTGAGGTGTCCGAAACAAAGCAGATGTTGTTTGTTTGTTTCTTATGGCTAAACGATGTTCCTCGAGCCTGGCTGAAATCCTTCTGTTGGTCTGTCCCACATACGTCAGGCTGCACGATCCGCATGCTACACTGTATACTCCTTGGTTTTCCAGAGTAATTTTTTGTTTTGGGTTTCTTAGTATTGCTCCGATGGTATGATCAGGTTTGTATGCCGTTGATATGTCGTGTTTCCGTAATATTCGGCCGATTTTGTCAGTAACCCCCTTCATGTATGGCAGGACAGCGATCGATCTTCGTTCGGTCTCGTCCTGCACTCTCTGCTGCGGCTGCTGTTGTTTACTGATTGCCTTGCTGATGATGCGCCTTTGATATCCGTTTTGTCGAAGACAGCTACTAATTTTCTTCAGTTCTTCATCTCTGTTCTTCTCGTTTGTGAGCCTGAAGGACCGAGCAATCAATGTATTTGCCACTGCCTGTATCTGTGATGGGTGGTGATGAGATTTAGCGTTCAGATATCTATTAGTGTGTGTTGGTTTTCTATAGACAGTGTGTTACAAGTGTCCATCTTCGGTCCTTGTGATGTGCACATCTATAAAGGGCAGACTGTTATCCTCTTCAAGTTCTATTGTAAATTGAATCCTTGGGTGAATGGAATTCAGATGATCTAGGAATTTCAAAAGCTCCTCCTTGCCAAAAGGCCATACAACAAATACGTCATCAACGTATCTTGCCCATAGTTTTGGCTTCAGATTTGCCTTCTCTATTGCTTTCTTTTCGAAGTAAATCATGAAGAGGTTGGCAATCACAGGTGAGAGAGATGATCCCATTGCTGCTCCATCTACTTGTTGGTAAATTTTCCCGTTATACATAAAGTAAGCATTTTTCAAGCAATGTCTTGACAGATCCATTATGTACGGCGGAAGATCTTCGTTTTCTTCTATAAGCAAGAGTGCCTCTTCTACCGGAATGCTCGGGTATAGGGATTTGACATCGAAACTTGCCATAATGTCGTCCTTGTCCATCGTGAGAGTACCTAAAATCTGAGTGAAATGTTCTGAATTTTTAACATAGCAATCTGCCTTATCTACTATGGGCTGAAGTGCACTGGCCAAATGTTTTTCCAGCTTGCATAATGGTGAGTTAAAGGCGCTTAAGATTGGACGCAGGGGAACCCCGTCCTTATGGATCTTTGGGAGCCCGTAGAATTTTGGGCAACGAATAAGTTTCTTCTTTGTATCCTTATTTATTGATGATTCGAGAATTCTGGACTTAGTTGTTTTTTCCAAATATGTGGTGACTAGTTCAATTGGGTTGTACAAAATATCCTCCAATTTTGCATTATAATCCCTATACCCGTCTACTCTCTACTACTCCGTCTAAAGCCTGAATTTTGAATCCTGATGGCGAAGGCGAAGCATTCAGCTTTAGTGCAGGATTCTAAACCTCAATAGTGTTTTAAAGGAAAAACTCATTATATAATGGAAAAATATATAATTATAATGAAACAAGAAAAAAAAAACAAACAAAAAAAATATTATACAGTTTGATTGAGACAATATGATTTTACACATTCAATAATGGATATACCTGCAAATCATAACTACCTATCATATTGTCCAGATAACCAGGAAGATTTTCAGGGCTGTCGAAGTAGTTGAAAGCTTTAGTATTAAAACCACGACCAACAAAAAATCTCACAAGTTATGACACCGTCCGTGAAAGTCTACGCAATTATATTGACCAGATATTGGAATTGACCTAGATTACAGCACTGAATTTGCCCAGTCACCATTTTCTTTACTAGTGGAAGTGAAGTCGATATAAAAGTCGAAATAAGTAAAATTAATTCATGAATCTTTAAGACGGTGTGGAAAACGACTTCTCCGAGGAAGTAATATTGTTATGATAAAACAATTACTCAAATTAAAATAAATTTAGTGCAATCATGATTTACCCACATTCCGCCGTCAAGGACAAAGGTCGAAAAACTTAAAGTACATAATTACTGCATGCAATTACAGCATCGAACGCTTAAATTAATTTTTACGTGATACATGAATTAAGCCCGCTAATTTCTTACGTTGCTCCAATATTATCATACAGACTAAACATGGCCGAATATAAATAAGCAGGTAAATACTAAATCATTACCCATACGCGAAAGAAAAAATAAGCGTTAGAAAAAGAACGCTTTTGCTGAGTGACACGCGCTTAACCCTGAACGTGTACGATGAACCAGGAGCGTTACCTACCGAGTAGGTCTGGGATGTTACGTCAGACAAACATAAACATTGTGCAACACGGTGGCGTGCTTGCCATAGTGTTGACCCGATACGAATCAGGCGCGGCGCTGGCCCAATAAAAAAAATTAATCCAATAAACAAAAGCCCTTCTCTATTACTGACCTGTTTTTTAATTGTTTTATATCCACCGTTTGTCCGTCGATGAAAATACTCGTGACTGCGAAAGAAAATATCAGACACGATACGCAGCGCGGCACGTTATTTCTGCCAAACTTCGGACGAATCTAGCAAGCGGCCTGGCGGTTCTCTGTCGCGCCGCGTTCAGTATCTTGTCGGACTTCGGTTGGGTTAGACAGTGATGAGGTTTTCCGAAAAGTTGGCGTTGAATACGATAAAAGATTACGACGATGCGTGCGTTAAGGAAAAGTTTCGTAATTCTGAATGCGTTTACGTTGTTCGCGATTATGTGCGTCTATACTGTGGAAGGTAAAGTTTGCCACACAACAGATGTGCGGAACAGCGTGAGGAACCTAAACAAACTTCGGGGGTGCAACGTTATCGCGGGAAATTTAAAAATCGTTCTCCTTGAACGGACTAGTAGTCCCTCGGACTTTGACGATTACGTTTTCCCCGAACTAACGAAAATTACCGGTTACTTGTTGTTTTTCAGAGTGAAATATTTGTCTTCCATCGGCAAGCTGTTTCCTAATTTAAGGGTAATCCGGGGTGTTGAACTCATAGCCAATTATGCTTTTATTGCTTTCGAGATGCCCCATTTGAAAGAGGTGAGTGTTTTTATTAATGTTCGCGTTTTTGGTGAATATAAAACGGCGTATAACTAAAACCCTAACGTTTATAACCGACACGCGCTTAACGCATGATTTTATAACGTAAATTTAAAAATCTATAAATATTTATTGCCAATGTTACCGGCAAGATTTGAACTCCGGCAATGTGTAGGAATCACTGGTATTGTATATGGTGGTCTTACACTATCGGGCATTGCTGGAAATAAGTTATTTTACAGAAACGCGTCTGGTTCTAGGTTTGGTTGTTTCTGTTACCGTTCAAACCCAATTTCAGGCGAAACTTGTTTGTCAAAGGCCAAATCAGTTTGTAGGACAAGGGGCAGATACTAAGACTGACCAACAACTTACTTTTTTTTTACTAGAACCAAACATGTTCACCCAGAAAATTTGGTTTGGTTGGTTTGGTTATTCTTTGCTAATTTCCTTCTAGCAAAGAACTCAGGTTGGCCTAGGATAGATTAGTTGGGCCTAAAATGGGTAACGTATCCATCGGGAAAGCCGAATGCCCCTTTTTTTTGTTAATTTTAGTTCAGCACTTTTTTTAGTATGCCGCGGATCAATTTTCTATAGAATTTTATGCAAAAATTCGGATCGAGACGTTACGGTGGCGACTCTTGTAACACATTTTCATATTACACGGCCTTTGAAAAATTCCTAGGTAGCCCAGGAAACGCCTACGTAAGGTGTATAAAAAATGTGTGAAATCGTTAATTTTGGTCATATGTAATTATATATTATATTTAAGATTGAATTTTATTGTGGTTTGTATCATTTTTGCCAACTCTATTTTATCAAATTTGTACGTTTAAAGGAAAGGTCAGTGACAAGTTGTTCAACATGTTGCCGTTGTATCGTTCTGTGACAACCGGTGCAAGTAAGGAGTACTTACGCGAAAATGGTCATTCCGTTAGAGCAAATTGCCCGTGAATGACAGAAAATGGACGTGGAGTGAAGTATGCGATCATGTTTTTGTTGACACTGCGTATGCGACGAATCCGGTGCGCAATTTTTGTCGGTCACGCGATAATTCCATAAATATTTACATTTTTTTTTTAAGTCGTCGTTTTGTAAAAACGCGAATTTTGTTACCTTGAATACGAGCATTAACCTAACTGCGACCACCGCTAATATAAATTCGTATAATGTAAATAATTTTCTTGACTTCTGTTAACGAGCGACCGAAAATTATTAACGAAACAAATTACGATAGCTTCCTAAGATATTTAGGGTACCCTTAATGACCGTCACATCTGCGAATCGGCCTGCCTCTTATGAAACTAGTCAAAATATAAAACGTTTTCGTACAGAAATTCTTTATTTCTTCTGATTTGAAGAAGTATTTGGGCTGAATCACACGAGACCCTATCCAATCAAATATGGCGATATTTTTGGCAACAGTTTGTTTTCAAACCAGTCGTTAAATATTTCCGCCGCCATGTTTGCAGGGGAATTCACACTTGAATCTTTGACGTTTTTGGCAGAGACAAAAATAAGGCATCTGCCACCCAAACATGAAGAATGAAGAATTATTATGCGTTTTCCATGCGATCAAGTACATACCTGTTACTGTTATCACACCATCCTTTTTTTACTTTGTCGTGAGTGTCGATCCGCATTTCGTCTAAATACACCATTGGCCTATTTTGCTCGCGAAATTTTTCATCTAAATAATGCACCCTCCCTTGCGGAATTCGTTGAGATTCCATAACCACTTGACGTTTGTTAATTGTTTGGAATTGAAAATCCATTTTCTTCAAAAAAGTACGCAACGACTCTTTGGACTATTTCCCCCTTGAATTTCTTATAAAATTGTAAACATTCAAAACAATTTGTTTAGCATCCGAAGACAAATGGATCCCTTTTTTTTGCTGAGGTAGTTCGTCTTCTAAATTGTCATTAGGTTCGACTACCATCTCCACTTAGTATTCAAAAAATGTTTAATTGTAAGATTCTAATAAATATTTATCTGTATTCTTATTCTTCTTCCTACCGCGAATATAATCTATTCTATAGTATTAAAAAAAAAGAATGTCGTTTACATTTCGAAAAACTATGTATAAGACACAAAAATACAAGAAAAAGAATGTTGTTAATCGACAGGAACACAAGACAAAAATGACTATTTGCAAAGTCAAAGTTCGAGAATCGGATACATAAATACATAAATACATAAATACAGTCAAATATCTCAGTGATATATAGGAACATATTGCAATTTAGATTAAAACGGTCCATTTACGTTTCAAATAAAAATTTCAAGTTTCTACAAATAATCGTTACGGTCCATCTCAGGCAAGACCTATTTAAAGCAGAATAAACATCTACTGGGATGAGTTTTAACACGGTCCTGCGAAGGTCTGCGGTAACTGCGGTCTGCTGTAAAATCCTTAAAACGTCAAAGCAATAAATGCAATATATTTTTGGTCTTATTATACTTCCTTCGAATTTATACGTCTGGTAAAACAATTCCTTTCATGTCTTAATAGGCGCTCATTATCTATGGAACGTTGCTGAAATTTTGCCAATAAAAACTTAACTAGGCACATCGTTAAAACTATTTTTTTTACTGCTTAGAATTTCAGTTGAAACACCGCTAGGGCAAGTTTAATTTATCTGGTTCCGTATGTCTATAGTTTGTTTTATACCTGTTAGACCCTTCATCACAGAATCACCTGTCCCTTTGCTTTCTACACAACAGACCCCTAGATATGCTATTTCTCTTTGGCACCTAAATATTAATGAAGAATTAAAGACAAAAATTCTGTTTGGTCACTTTTGGTTTGTTTTCGAAATAGTTTTTATGTCCTCTCACCCGAATAGCTCATCATATGCTCATAAACTTCAAATACGTTTTTGTTTCAACTGAAGATATTAATCGTAACTCTAGCTGAATTAAAAAGAGATTGAGAATCACAGTCACACGAATAATTTTTGCTTTTGTTAATATTGCTGTGCTAAGTCTCCATACCGTCCTACATTAACACATTTACATCGTTTTTTATTTCGTACCCTTTTGCGAATCTATTTTAAGTGCGCTTTCAAAAATTTGTACACCAGATTTTACGCAATCATAAGATTGTACATATTTCACGCAAGACATCGCGGATGTGACAAAGATTGCACAGATTTAATGGAAAGTACTCAAAACTGGAACAAAATCTTAGAAATCTGTTTGAATTGCTTAGATTCCGCTAATTTCTCAAAAATTTTAGGGATTTCACGCATATTTTACAGAGCTGGCCACCATATTTCAAGCGTGATTTCCTCCATCCATCTTCTGCGGCAACTAAAGCATTAACCATAAGCCTATGTGAGCTTTTTATTCCTAAGACGCTTTAGAATTATAGGAACTATGGAAAAATCGGTTGATTGATATTTTCGATATTTTTTGGTTAGTACAAAAGACTTGAAACAATTAACAACAAAACAGTTCGATTTAATCTTTTATTTTAAATAAAATTTTGTAATTTATTGTATAAGTAAAAACAGATCAAACAAATCGACAACAATCCTTTTTCTTTCTGAAAAAAAGCACTTCACATTCAGTTAGAAAAAATAATAATAACGCAGGGACAAGTTTTTCATACGTAGAAGTAGCCTAAAATAATAGTTTCTCAATAATAAAAATTAAGGTGACGAAATTCCATCGCTTACCTTATTTACTACAAAAATATTAAAAAAGACATTGCGTAATGACCATAATTAAATCTAATTTTAACATCAAGTGTCAGGTTATTTTAAGAGCGATCCTAATTTGATAATAGCGAGGTTCTGAAAATGGTGTACGAACTAACCCAACCTGTCCAAAAGTGTTTCACAGTCGATATGTTTTCTTCGTTAAAAGTCACACATATATGTTGCCTGTTTGCTGCATGAAATCCGCCACGTATTTTTCCAAACAATCCTTTATTAAGTTAATATTTGAACACATCACAAATTTTCACCACGTTTGTGTAGACGAATCTCACTGCTGCTTCCGTATTTAGTTGAACTAACGTGCTAAGCGAGAAAATGTAGCGCAGATTACACAACGCGTGCCTCTTATGAAACTAGCCACGTCGTTCGAGACCACAGCGCAGCGTAATTACAGATTGCCAACCTTTCCGCTGGCGGCGGCAGCTGCGGCCGTGTTGGTTTTCATTTGAAGTACTGCCAAACTTAGAAATATAGAAAAAACTACTTAAGTTGAAATGTTCGCTTATATTTGTTTATTTTGTTTATAATAAACATCCGTACGATATATATTCACTGTCCTCTCAAAGAAAGCGTTATCCAAAAAACTTTTTAAGTCACTCGATTATTAAACACTCGCTCCGCTCGTCTCAAATAAACTCGTGAGTCAAGTGACATTTACCGCGCTTGTTTGATAATGTACTATTTCATCCGGATAGTATTTTACAGTAATTTTACGATCCTCATACCTCCCATATTTACCGAACATCTCATTGGCCGGGGTCGTAAATGTATGGGCCACAGGAGGGCGTATAGATTTTCACAAAAACTTTCAAGTTGCAAAGATACGTGAAATGCGCTTAAAATATTTCATTTACAGATAATGTTACGGTCCCTAATTAACATTTTACGAGCGTTCAGCTCTTGAAATTTCAATAGCAAAATAGGTCACGATTTAAGCGCATTTAGATGCAGATAATTTAGCAGTACGCGCAAATGAATCTTGCAAGACATTTTCGGGTTTTAATTAAAAACTAAATAACGGTGTCCGTGCATTTTGCCACAATTTGTCACAGTTTATTATTTATTTATTTGTTTATTCTGCTGTCAACGAAGTATTTATTGTTTGCATACGGGAAATGTGTGTCTGCATTAATTTTATGCTATAGATTTGACTCGAAGGTTTTACACACATAAAATTCCACTTTTGCCACAATCGATCTACATCATATCTGTATTGTCAGATACTTATCAGCGATTATAATGATAATGGTGACGTTAGTAGTTATGCCGGGTCCGGCCAA